ATTGCTCTTAACCTTCTGCCTCTTTGACGTTGTTTGCTTGCTGCGAGCTGTACCAGGATCACCCTCCGCTCGTATTCTTGGGTTGTTGCTAACGTCTAGTAATTGTTCAAGTAAATCCATGTGTTTCAGGGGACCATCAAAAATGTAAACACATGGTATTTCCATACCAAGACCTCCAAACCAATTGACTGCCTTTCCACATACTTCTACCAATCCTTGGTTCGTAAAACTGTCTGTGTTGGTCTTTATATTGATAAAACATGTTTTCCTGACGTTTTCTCTGAGAGCCTTCTTAATACGGACACCCGGATAATACGGACACTATGGCATGTCCACTTGGTGTCCGTATTAACCGGGTTCCACTGTACAATTTTTTAGTATCCACTTCCAGAAAAAAATTGCCAACATTTCACGAATTGAATCTGAGATGGAGCAAGCGCGATAAAGTTTGAAGCAGCACGAATTCACTTTTTAAGTGACGATTTCGTCGCTGTCGCCGACGTTGTTACTTACTGGGATCCATCATGAAATGCATCCGTGAATCTCCACCAAGCTCGGTGCTCGTTGTATACGTAGTCCCACACCAAATGTCCCACGGAGCAATATCAACACCATCACCTGATGATCAGACCAGCAAAGTGCAGTGGAAAGGTCGCCATCAATAACAAAATGACTGTCGGGATCCCTATCAAAAATTATGTGTCAAAGGTTCGACGGCCACTTTCTTCTGTCACCAAGGTGGCCGTTGTGGGGAGGTTCATTTGTACTATATCTTATTAGGAAATTATTTTTTCGGTGATATTTGAGTGTAACACTGACAAGATGATCATAGGGGAATACAATTTTCTTTAGAATATCTTCTTTTTCGGCTCGAAAAACACACCGAGTATCGATCAGTTGCTCAATACTTTGAGAATCGGGGGATCTGGGGGAAGGTGCAGGGGGTGCGCCCCCCCCCGAGATGAACTGCGGTTTTCTAATACAACTTGTACTGGTATTCTGCAAAAAAAAAAGCTTTGTGGTTTATTGGAGTTGAAGTAGAGCAAGAGACGAGTGCACCCCCTCCTAAAAAAAACTCCTGGATCCGCCCCTGGTTAATGACAAGTACTGTTATCAAACCAGGTTCGTTCCTGTACGCATGTTATATTTGTCAATGACATCGTTATCAAATCAAGATCATTCTCACTTCATCAAGATCAGCAGTCGATGCCACTTCAGGAGTTATTGATACTAAATTCTAAATAAAAAATTAGTCTTTTTGCTTCCGGTTTAGCGACGTTATATTTCGCGTTCCATCTGATGCATTTAACACTTTAAATGGGAATATTGCCTGTTTTGACAAGACAACGAGAGAGATGGTCAAATCTTTTGCAGTTCCTGTGCTGATTAAATTTAATAGCCCTAAGAAATACATCAGATATTGTTCAAGCTGAACCCTTTGTTACTGATAACATAAACATACTGAAAGTGTTATTTAGTAATAACATCTTTTATTTAGGTATCCAATTTACCTTTCTTCATTCACAATTAAAGCTTTAATTTTTTTTCCCCGATTTAGGAATATGCTTGTGCTGAGGTTTTTGACATGCTAGGGTAGTTCTTCTATCCTTAACGCACTTGATAGATAGTGCTACATATTAAGTGCTCCGTGTTGCACGACTTAGCTTTTTTTCTGTTTTAGTAACAGTATTTATTTGCGTGTTCAGGATTTACAACTTTATTACGGGTTGTCTTCAAATCACACTAAAAATGTGACATAAAACTACAAGCAACCTACAGAAACAAAATAGAGCAGTTTCAACATATTGGCTTGCACACAATTTATCATGGGGGTCTTGTAGTTGGTAAAGCGCTGCTGCGCTAAGCGATTGATTTGAATCTCGTTTAAGTCCCAATATTTTTTTTTTTTTCGTGTTCATTTGTAATTTCTTAAATTATTATTACAATCGAGACGAATATATCTTCATTAAAAATTTGTGTTTCCGCAATTGTCATATCATTTTCAATGTACGAACTTAAAGCCTTAGAAATAAACGTAAAGAAGATCATCGCAGTTAAAGACACATGGCTTATGCAGTTGCGTAAAGAAAGTCTAAATTTTTTTTCAGGCCATTTTTCATGCTCAGAAAAATCATATAGTACTCGAAGAGTAAATTAAAGTCGTTTAAAGAAAGTTTAGCGCAATTTTTCTGTAGACAGACGTTTTTTGTCGGCTCTTATTGACTAGTTCTTATGCTCAATATTCATTATAATAATTATAATTAATGCAACGTACCGTGACTAAATCTGACTAAACGTTCCTTTCATTAAAGTTCTATTAAGTATTCAACCGCTGACATATCTTGATGTATATTTCATTTTCTAAAACCCGTTAAAAAATTTGTATGATAATGTATATTTAGCCTTTTCGGGAGAAAATTTATTAAAATTTCATTCTGTCTGATTTAGTTGATTGGTTCAACTTCCACGTCTGACCGAAAATTTAGGTAGACCCAAAATATAGTTTTGTCCTTCCTCTTGGTCCTTCTGAAACAGCTTTACTTGTAAAGGCAACTGATTTTGGTTCCGAAACCGACCCTGCAGTCATGGCTACTCAGAAAGCGCTACATTCTCTCTAAATGGCAACTACGACACACATACAATGATACTGTGATGCCAAATGCATCACAGACCATGTATCATTTCGTTAGTACCACAAAAAACCTCTCGGAAGTTATGGATCAAATATATTCAGTATTTTTTTTCAGTTTAAGTGTTGAACAATACCAATGGATATTATATTGATATGTTGAAAGAAATGTTATGTTTTCACGTCCCAGTAACTGGCTTTGGTGCAGCTCTTACCCAATTATTTCTATATGTTTTGTTTTTATTAGTTTCCTCAATTCTAAAGTAATTGCCCAGCGCAATCCCGAGGAGGCACTATGGTAACTCGCGCGTTTATTAACACACGACAATATACAGAGCGGGGGCAGCTGTAGTGTCAACAATTACTAGTTGTAAGAGTATTTAGCTGCGTGTTCAGGATTTGTACTAGGGCTATATCAATTTTAAGCATACTGGCCTTCTTAATGACTGTTGATGCAAGAAATAAATTAAGATGGAGTTATTATCGTTGTAAATGGGTCAAAAGTAGATTTTCCAGATGCGACTGAGATGCACGCGACATCAGTAAAGAAATGCACGAATCATCAACTGCAGTCTGTACTGCTACAGGTGTTACTGATAGTCCTGCACAACGATATCGGCGTCATCTCCTGATAAAGACCAGCAAAACGCGGTCAATACCTTGTAATCGATGACAAAATGACTGTCGACAGGACAAACATAAACAAGTCCTATCAAAGTCTTGGTATTCTTAAATTGCGAAATTTTAAACACTGAGTCGGGGGTCCTAATAATTGTAAAATTAGTGCAAAATCGAACCTGCGAATAACAATACCATCTTTGGACATTTTAATGCCGATTGAGTTTTCCTGCACTCTGTAGTATTTGATTATTCCTGTACTCTGTAATAAAGACCAGTAGAACGACTAGTTTTCACTATTTGAATAAACAACGTTTTCGCAGAGAAAGCATTTAAACCGCAATCTTAGATAAAAGAACATCCCAAGAATTACTCGGTCATTACTTTAAGGGTCTCTCGGAAGTTATAGATAAAAGATCTGCGGTATCTTTTAAAATTACCGTTGACTTTCACTAACAAAAACAACAGAAAATAATAAATGAGGAGTTCATGTCAAAACTAGAGTCTGGTGCAATTGTTACAATTAACAACAGATCTAGATTGGGACAGATCAAAGGCTTTTTTGTTAATATCATGATGAGAACTTTGAATGCTAAGAAGTGCACAGAACTAGAACATTGATTTATTGCTTAATGGCATTGTTATCAAATCAAGATCTCTCTCACTTCAAAAGTTGATAGCCACTTACAGGAACGTTTTCTTAGCAGGTAATCGGGAGTTATTGAGACCAGCATCTCACAATAACTTAGCTGAATGAAGTGCTTTTTTCCAGTTTGGAACCATGATTTTATGTCTTGTCCTTGTTCTTCTTCATATAACAGATCACGAAATCTTTTATGCCTCCTATGTTCTTCTAAAATTTTATCATGGCCTTAACCAATATTTTAGATATTGAAGTAAGCCCATTTGCAACTTATAACTAAAACGTGCTGATATCTTTTGTCTTTGTTTTGCCACACCACGCCCACTTTACTGAAATAAAAAGTCGCGCATAGACGAAGACATCGCTCAGTATATCAGTGCCATTCAGGAACACATTTGAAGATAAGTCCGAGTGCCTCTGTGAGGTAAAGTATTGTCATTTGCTCACTCTTAATGCGTGACATCCAAAAACGGCTGCGAGGGAGACAATTCACTGTTATAATCTAACTACAAAATTGTGTTGAAAGTGATCTACAATTAACCCATCGCAATGATAGAGATCTGAGCCTCCATGGTGAACACATAACATTGAAATGTTGTTTCATTCTGTGACACAATTGTCTCCAGTCGAGCCTATGAATTAACTTATGGTTTCTAGTCCAGATGCTCTACCACTGCGCTGCAAGAGAATTGTGGGAGCTAATTAAGGCCATTAAACTAGGTTCATGAAGGCTAGTAACCAGAACGTTCTAGGTCCGACTCTTACCGGGAGTAATTGCAGTTTTTTCGAGTCGCCGGTGTGCACAGTGTTCAGTCAAAAACGAAAGGTTACTTCCCTTTTTTCACACAGCGGCATCGAAGAAAAAAATTCATGTTCTCCCACAGGAGTCGAACCTATGATCATCCGGTCACTACCCCGGAGTGTTTGCCACTGAGCTACAAACGAATGGTGGGAACGCAACTAATAAAGGTTCCGAACCGCCTGTGTCGCTAAATGAAAAATATCCTTCTCATGTATTCAACAGGCTTAAAATTCACCATCACATATATCGCTGGCCAAAAAAGAATACCTTTCTGTTAAACGTGGTTATACTTTTATGTTCTCTTTTTCAGAGAGATGAAAGTAGCAATGCATAACGCTGCACAAAAAATGCTGCCGATCGCTTTCTTCCTGTATATTGCAGTCGTTACAGTTGACAGCGAGAATTTCGGTATGTCAAGAACTTTGCTTAAAGTATACTTGCTACCTTTTTACGGGTGCACAGCATTATTTAAAATGGGATCTGTTAATCTTGAATTAGAACCACTGTACGAGGCAATCAAACAATACGGTTTTTGGTTTTGGGAGGGGAGGGGGGAGACTAAGCATAAAGAAAAATTGAGTCATTAGCGAAGGGGCACACCTCCTGTTTTTGTTAACCAACAGCGTAACCGTGACGTTAGCTGCTAACCGGAAATATCTCTTGAGTCAGTGAAGCTTGGTGTTAATTACTGTCTATCGTTCCTGCAAAGAGAAGCTTCCTAAGCAAGATGAGCCTTCCTTCAGCCTTGAGAATTGTTGCCATATCATAACGTGAAATATTCTTACGATACTTTTGGTGATCAAAAAATGCTAGCAGACACTCCAGAAATATTGGATCTTAAGGATTTTGTCAAGGATTAATTAAAAACAATAGGCCTTTGGTTAGTTGTTGATGGTGATGTTTTTGTTGTTGTTGTTGTTTAAACTTGTTTGTTGTCTTTACCGTTTTATTTGCAATGTAGCCTGCGAGAACAGTCGTCTCCCCTAGCTCCTCGGCGCTAAGGCGTTTCGCCTCAGCGACAGAAATATCCATACTGTTGACGTCAATAAGATCTGCCCGGAATCTGGTCAGAAACTCTGATTGGTTGACGTAGTGTTTACGAACGGCAAAGAAAGAACGAACCGTTAAAAACAGTCAATATTCGCGGAATATATTATTCTTAAGAAAAACACAAACGCAATAATCGACTAGGAGAAACATTTGGAGCCCCATGACTACCGGATTTGTTATTAAACATTATGAAAACAACAACAGCAACAGCATGCAGTTTGATAAACATGGTGCATTCCCGGCTAAGAAAATGAAAAAGTATATAAGTGAAATAATGTGGTTCCTCTCTAGTCACATTAATCACCTCGCGAATAACCTTAAACAGATAAAACGTCAATTTGACAGGAACATTACTTTTATTTACATGCATAGGGTATGAAACTATTGGATGCTACAGGGACACATCAAACCGCGCAATCCAGCCCTTGGAAGGAAAGGATTCCATTTTGGATGGAACATATTGGACTCGGAAGAACCCCATCGCAAAGTGTGCCCAGGCTGCAAGAAGAGCAGGTTATGGCATGTTCGCCGTTCAACATAGTGGCTGGTGTGCGGCCAGTGCTACAGCACCAAAGACCTTTGACAAATATGGAAAATCTACAGCTTGTGGATCTGATGGCGAGGGAGGGCCATGGGCTAATCAAGTTTATGTCATCAAAGGTAAACTAAAGTATCTTCCTTTTGATAAGGAAGACCTGAATAATATATGCTACTTTCAAAATGACTTGGTTCATTGTCGCCAAAACGATGTCAATGACAACGAAACTTCATAGAAAAAACTTCGAAAGCAATTCTTATATATTCTCTTAAAATGTATCAGCAGTAATATTATATTTTAAACGAAATTTTAGCATCCATTGGATGCTACCTGGACAAACCGAGTCGAGCAATTCAACCCTTGGAAGGAAAGGATTCTATTTTGGATGGGGCATATTGGACTCGAAAGAATCCAATTGCAAAGTGTGCCGTGGCTGCAATGAGAGCGGGTTACAGCATGTTTGCAGTTCAACATAGCGGCTGGTGTGCGGCCAGTGCTACAGCACCAAAGACCTTTGACAAGTATGGAAAATCTACAGCTTGTGGATCAGATGGTGAAGGCGGACCATGGGCGAATCAAGTTTATGTCGTTAACGGTAAGACGTTGTTTCGATGTAGGTCCCTCAGTCACTTAGAAGAGACACAAACCATTTTATGCTATCAGTTGCCAGCCGTCCAGTAAATTTTTTTTTTTGGGCAACCAGTTTTTTTGTCATTGTAAAGCAGAAAAGGTAACTATGATGTAGAACTGACGCTTGATACTATGGAAAATAACCATAAACTAAAAGATGACATGACTCACTATCAAATAAAAGTAAAGGATCTCGCTAGTCAATTATTAAATTCACTCTATTTTACCCTTTCATGAGCACCAGCTCCCAGTATTCGAAAGTTTTATTTTGTGTTCGTTTTTTATCTCCTTTTAGGATATGGATCCATTGGATGCTACAAGGACACCGGAAACCGAGCAATTTTACCCTTGGAAGGAAAGGATCCTATTTTGGATGGGACATATTGGACTCGAAAAAACCCCATTGAGAAGTGCGCAGTGGCTGCAATAAGAGCAGGTTACAGCATGTTCGCAGTTCAACATAGTGGCTGGTGTGCGGCCAGTGCTACAGCACCAAAGACCTTTGACAAGTATGGAAAATCTACAGCTTGTGGATCTGATGGCGAGGGTGGACCAAGGGCCAATGACGTTTATGTAATCAGAGGTGAGACAGCTAGATATAGTGTTTCGATGTACACCCCGCATTATTTGACATCACATGCCACCAGTAGCTAACCGTCGTGTCTTTTTTCTTCTGTTGAAGCACCAGACGAAATATCATCGTAAACTCGAACGGTTGTGGGTTGAGTTTCTTGTCGGTCCTCTCCCGTGCCCCGGAAGGCTTTTCTTGGGTACTCCGGTTTTTTTTTCTGGACTCTCTTCTGCGTTTCCTGGAATTAGTTAATAAGGATCAAATATATATTTGAGAAAGAAAGAAACCCCTATATAACACTAAAATTCAGCAAGTAAACTTAAAATTAATCCTTTTTATAGGAAAAGTGCAAATTTTGAAAAAAATGGCTGTCAAATTTCGGTTGCCATAGAATTCAAAGTATGCTTGGCCATACCCGTTACGACAGCCTTCAAATGTTCCCAGATAATTTTTAGAAAATTTTTAGTTTTCATAGCTCAAGAGGCTTTTAAACGATCTTTGCTTATTAAGGATATGAATCCATTGGATGCTACAAGGACACCGCACATCGTGCAATCCACCCCTTGGAAGGAAAGGACCCTGTTTTGGATGGATCTTATTGGAGTCGAAAAAATCCTGTTGAAAAGTGTGCCGCAGCTGCAATGAGAGCGGGTTACGGCATGTTTGCAGTTCAACATGGCGGCTGGTGTGCGGCCAGTGCAATAGCGCCACAGACGTTTAACACGTATGGAAAGTCTACAGCTTGTAAGGATGACGGCGAAGGTGGACCATGGGGTAATCAAGTCTATGTGATCAATGGTAAGACTGTGTTTCGAGACACGCCTCCAATCTGAATTTGATGATGAGACATGAGCCATTTCATGCTATCAGTTACCGAGAATATTGGACACGTTTTCATTTTTTATGCAACCAGCTTTTTGTCACAGTTATTTAATTCTGAAGGTAACTATTGTGTAACATATCGTAATGGAGCACATCTTAAGGTAACAAGGCACGACAACTATGATAAATAAATATAAAGATAGCCTGGTTCCCCATCAGTTAAAAGTGACGGAACCCGTAACTTTAAAAACGTAAGTCCATTCTCATACACGGATGTTTTATCCTGCGTTTAGTTTTGTATTCAGGATATGAATCCATTGGATGCTTCCGGGACAGGCCAAGTCGAGCAATTCAACCCTTGGAAGGAAAGAGTTCCCTTTTGGATGGAACATATTGGACTCGAACGAATCCCATTGCAAAGTGTGCTGCAGCGGCTATAAGAGCAGGTTACAGCATGTTTGCTGTTCAACATGGCGGCTGGTGTGCAGCCAGTGTTACAGCTGCGAAGACGTTTGACAAGTATGGAAAATCTACATCTTGTAAGGATGACGGCGAAGGCGGACCATGGGGTAATCAAGTTTTTGTGATCAAAGGTAACGTAGCTTTTGGATACACGCCCGTCATTTATTTAGGTGAGAGACGTCAGCTAGTGCAAAATGATAATAGTTGCCAAGCATCTTGAAAATAATTTTCCTTTGTATAAAACCTGGCTTTACGCTAATGACTGGGTTCACCATCAGATAAGTGACAGAAAAGTTAACTCAGGAACCATTTCCGTAAACTCTCTTTAAACCCATAAAAGCACCAACTCTCAAAATTCAAATGCATATTTGAAATTACAGGGTCCGCGCAGAAGTTTCCGAAGGGCGGGAACCAGTGGATTGAACTGCGCATGCTAAGGAAAGTGGGGGTTGGGGTAAGAGATCCGAGGACATCTTCTATGCAGGTTCAAAGGGATCTAGCGGTTATAAGAGAGTTAACAGGATTTTGGCGATAGAATGAACAACCTAAGCGGCTGCAAAAGAACCTGAAAATTCAGGCTTGACCGGGAATAGAACGCTTTGCCTTTGCGATGACCGGACGCCACGCTCAGATTTTTCTTAGCAAAGAAGGAATTGATAATTATTGTCGAAAAGCTAAATCCATTGCGTTTCCATGCATGCCACTTTTTGATAAAAAGCTTGATGTTCCCGTACTCAATTGTAAATTACAATGTCTATAAATGTGCACTCTTACAGACATTTTATAAACCCATAATATAATATGTCTGCAGATTTGACCACTTTTTGCGAGACTACATCGCATAAAATGTCCATGAAATCCTAATGTTTTCCTTGTAAAATTCAATCTACATTTACAGAAATTTTAAACCTTTCCAGCTTTTAAAATGTGATCATAGTCCTTGTAAAGTACTCAAGGAAAAAACTCTGTATAATAGATAAGATGAAATGTGAACAAAATCTTCGTAAATTTAACAAAATAACGGTGGAAAACGTTAATGAAAAGTTGAAAAAAGTTTTTACAATGTTTACAAAAAGTGCAAAGAATGTTTGTACATTATACTCGGAGAACTACAAGGAAACTGTGCAAGATGTTTGTTTGTTTGTTTGTTTGTTTTTTTTTTCAATAAAATAACAATGGAAGGAAAACAGGAAGAACGCAAATCCCAAAAAAATGTGTGCAAAAGTGAACAAAATGTTTGTAAATGTCCATAAACAAAGTACACGTCTTAAAAATTTAAGTATTTTATTTTAATTTTTTTCCAAATGCTGACATAATAGATATTTGTTTCATTATTACAATAAAGAATTCAATACATACATATAGAAACGGTATTTTATACAAGGTACGTGTAATTCTTCAGTCATCGGATTTATATATATATATATATATATACGTATGGTTGACGGAAGAAAACAAGTAACTACATAAGTATCCCTACAAGCCTGTTTCGTGGTTGCCCACTCATCAGGGGATTTTAATGAGAATAACTTTACCATTACTTATATACTAGACTGATTTACATAATTTATTCAGTGCGAGGTTCGTTACATCAGTTGTTGCGCAAGAGGGCTTTGTTTCTGTGGCGGCAGGAAGACACGAGTTCATTACGTTTGTTAAGTGTAGAGAGTTCAGGTCGGCAGATGATAAGGAATTTTTCTTTAAGACATAAGTTGCATCGTTTGCTTGAGCTGTTGTACGGCAGGTGTGAAGATAGAATGGGCCAGGCGATAGAGTAGTTGATGTTGTTTTCTTTAAGAGTCCAGACGTGTTTGCTGAGTTCTGTGGAGTTTCTGTTCTTTGCGTGACGGAATGATGACATGTGGTTGCTGTATCTTGTTTTGAAGTCGTTCGCAGTAAGCCCGATGTACGTTTCTGTCGTGTTGGTGTCTTTTCGTGTGACAGTAGCTTGGTAGATGACAGCAGGCTGAAGGCAGTTCCCGTTGAGCGGGCATGAGTTCTTTTGTCGGCAGTTGCATTTCTTGTTGTTGTTGTTGATGATGGTGGGGGCGGAGTCGGCGGCAGCGGTGGTAGCATTAGTCTTAGCATGGGCAGTCAAGATTCGTTTGTTGTGGTTGTCGATGATTTGTTTTGCGTTGTTCATGCAGCTGTAACTGATCTTGATGGTGTTTCTGTTAAAGATTTTTCGTAGCTTGTGGTCCTTGGGGAAGTGCTTGTCTATTAAGGCGAGGAATTTACGTCCAATGTTGGTACTGGTGTTCTTGCTAAAGGGTGGGTTGTACCATAGGATGTTATTGCGTTGTCGGTTTTTCGGTTTGCGTGTATGGGTGGGTTCGTAGTGAAGCGTGCAGCTGTATCCACTGTCGTCGAGTGCTTTCTGGTAGGCGGGCGCGGCTTGGTCGAAGGAGGCTTTGTCGGATGAGAGAGATGATAAGCGTCTGTTGATACCTGCGGGAATGTTTTTTGTAGTGATTGGTGGATGGTTGCTCTCGTGGTGGACGTATTGTAATGTAGTGTTAGGCTTTGTATACGGCTGGAAGGTGTTACGGCTAAGGTTGAATGTGACGTCTAGGAAGTTGATTACTTGTTTGTTAGCTTCTATGGTGATGCGCAAACCGTTAGCGTTGAAGATGCGGCATATTTCTTTCTTGATGTTCTCAGTTTCTCTAGGCGTAGCGTCAGTGATGGCAAGTCCGTCGTCCCGGTAGAGTCCTACGTTGATGTTGAGGTTCTGTAGTTGTGAAAGGAGGAAGCTACCGACAAGTTCACATGTTTCAGCGCCGTCGTAGCTCCCCATAGTTACGTCGAATGTAGTGTCGCCTTTCTTTTGCCAGGGTTGTTGCTTGTAAATTAAGATTGAGCTTTTAGCGTGAATAATTATTTTCTTTTCGTCAGCGGTGATGTTGTCATAATCAGATGCGAAATCGAGTGCTTTGTTCAGGAGGTCTAGGCTGATGGATGGGTAGAATTCTTCGATGTCGAAACAGATAAAGCTGAACAAAGCACTCGATTTCGCATCTGATTATGACAACATCACCGCTGACGAAAAGAAAATAATTATTCACGCTAAAAGCTCAATCTTAATTTACAAGCAACAACCCTGGCAAAAGAAAGGCGACACTACATTCGACGTAACTATGGGGAGCTACGACGGCGCTGAAACATGTGAACTTGTCGGTAGCTTCCTCCTTTCACAACTACAGAACCTCAACATCAACGTAGGACTCTACCGGGACGACGGACTTGCCATCACTGACGCTACGCCTAGAGAAACTGAGAACATCAAGAAAGAAATATGCCGCATCTTCAACGCTAACGGTTTGCGCATCACCATAGAAGCTAACAAACAAGTAATCAACTTCCTAGACGTCACATTCAACCTTAGCCGTAACACCTTCCAGCCGTATACAAAGCCTAACACTACATTACAATACGTCCACCACGAGAGCAACCATCCACCAATCACTACAAAAAACATTCCCGCAGGTATCAACAGACGCTTATCATCTCTCTCATCCGACAAAGCCTCCTTCGACCAAGCCGCGCCCGCCTACCAGAAAGCACTCGACGACAGTGGATACAGCTGCACGCTTCACTACGAACCCACCCATACACGCAAACCGAAAAACCGACAACGCAATAACATCCTATGGTACAACCCACCCTTTAGCAAGAACACCAGTACCAACATTGGACGTAAATTCCTCGCCTTAATAGACAAGCACTTCCCCAAGG